CTTGTGATGCTGGTTCTGACCCGTCCCCTTGTGATGCTGGTTCTGACCCGTCCCCTTGTGATGCTGGTTCTGACCCGTCCCCTTGTGATGCTGGTTCTGACCCGTCCCCTTGTGATGCTGGTTCTGACCCCGTCCCCTTGTGATGCTGGTTCTGACCCGTCCCCTTGTGATAGCTGGTTCTGACCCTGTGATGCTGGTCTGAACCGTCCCTTGTGATGCTGGTTCTGAACCCGTCCCCTTGTGATGCTGGTTCTGACCCGTCCCCTTGTGATGCTGGTTCTGACCCGTCCCCTTGTGATGCTGGTTCTGACCCGTCCCCTTGTGATGCTGGTTCTGACCCGTCCCCTTGTGATGCTGGTTCTGACCCGTCCCCGTGTCATGCTGGTTCTGACCCGTCCCCGTGTCATGCTGGTTCTGACCCGTCCCCTTGTGATGCTGGTTCTGACCCGTCCCCGTGTGATGCTGGTTCTGACCCGTCCCCTTGTGATGCTGGTTCTGACCCGTCCCCTTGTGATGCTGGTTCTGACCCGTCCCCTTGTGATGCTGGTTCTGACCCGTCCCCTTGTGATGCTGGTTCTGACCCGTCCCCTTGTGATGCTGGTTCTGACCCGTCCCCGTTTCATGCTGGTTCTGACCTTCCCCGTGTGATGCTGGTTCTGACCCGACCCCGTGTGATGCTGGTTCTGACCCGACCCCGTGTGATGCTGGTTCTGACCCGTCCCCGTGTGATGCTGGTTCTGACCCGTCCCCTTGTGATGCTGGTTCTGACCCGTCCCCTTGTGATGCTGGTTCTGACCCGTCCCCTTGTGATGCTGGTTCTGACCCGTCCCCGTGTGATGCTGGTTCTGACCCGTCCCCTTGTGATGCTGGTTCTGACCCGTCCCCTTGTGATGCTGGTTCTGACCCGTCCCCGTGTCATGCTGGTTCTGACCCGTCCCCTTGTGATGCTGGTTCTGACCCGTCCCCTTGTGATGCTGGTTCTGACCCGTCCCCTTGTGATGCTGGTTCTGACCCGTCCCCTTGTGATGCTGGTTCTGACCCGTCCCCGTGTCATGCTGGTTCTGACCCGTCCCCTTGTGATGCTGGTTCTGACCCGTCCCTTGTGATGCTGGTTCTGACCCGTCCCCGTGTGATGCTGGTTCTGACCCGTCCCCTTGTGATGCTGGTTCTGACCCGTCCCCTTGTGATGCTGGTTCTGACCCGTCCCCTTGTGATGCTGGTTCTGACCCGTCCCCTTGTGATGCTGGTTCTGACCCGTCCCCTTGTGATGCTGGTTTGTGACCCGTCCCCTTGTGATGCTGGTTCTGACCCGTCCCCGTGTGATGCTGGTTCTGAACCACGTCCCCTTTGAGGCGGGTTCTGACCCGTCCCCTTGTGATGCTGGTTCTGACCCGTCCCCCGTGTCATGCTGGTTCTGACCCGTCCCCTTGTGATGCTGGTTCTGACCCGTCCCCTTGTGATGCTGGTTCTGAACCGTCCCCGTGTCATGCTGGTTCTGACCCGTCCCCGTGTGCATGCTGGTTCTGACCCGTCCCCTTGTGATGCTGGTTCTGACCCGTCCCCAGTGTCATGCTGGTTCTGACCCGTCCCCGTGTGATGCTGGTTCTGACCCGTCCCCTTGGTGATGCTGGTTCTGACCCGTCCCCTTGTGATGCTGGTTCTGACCCGTCCCCTTGTGATGCTGGTTCTGACCCCGTCCCCGTGTTCATGCTGGTTCTGACCCGTCCCCGTGTGATGCTGGTTCTGACCCGTCCCCTTGTGATGCTGGTTCTGACCCGTCCCCTTGTGATGCTGGTTCTGACCCGTCCCCTTGATTTGTCCTCTGTCATGCTGGTTCTGACCCGTCCCCTTGTGATGCTGGTTCTGACCCGTCCCCTTGTGATGCTGGTTCTGACCCGTCCCCGTGTCATGCTGGTTCTGACCCGTCCCCTTGTGATGCTGGTTCTGACCCGTCCCCTTGTGATGCTGGTTCTGACCCGTCCCCGTGTCATGCTGGTTCTGACCCGTCCCCTTGTGATGCTGGTTCTGACCCGTCCCCTTGTGATGCTGGTTCTGACCCGTCCCCGTGTCATGCTGGTTCTGACCCGTCCCCTTGTGATGCTGGTTCTGACCCGTCCCCTTGTGATGCTGGTTCTGACCCGTCCCCGTGTGATGCTGGTTCTGACCCGTCCCTTGTGATGCTGGTTCTGACCCGTCCCCGTGTCATGCTGGTTCTGACCCGTCCCCTTGTGATGCTGGTTCTGACCCGTCCCCTTGTGATGCTGGTTCTGACCCGTCCCCTTGTGATGCTGGTTCTGACCCGTCCCCTTGTGATGCTGGTTCTGACCCGTCCCCGTGTGATGCTGGTTCTGACCCGTCCCCGTGTGATGCTGGTTCTGACCCGACCCCGTGTGATGCTGGTTCTGACCCGTCCCCTTGTGATGCTGGTTCTGACCCGTCCCCTTGTGATGCTGGTTCTGACCCGTCCCCTTGTGATGCTGGTTCTGCCCCGTCCCCGTGTGATGCTGGTTCTGACCCCCCCCGTGTGATGCTGGTTCTGACCCGTCCCCGTGTGATGCTGGTTCTGACCCGTCCCCGTGTGATGCTGGTTCTGACCCGTCCCCTTGTGATGCTGGTTCTGACCCGTCCCCGTGTGATGCTGGTTCTGACCCGTCCCCTTGTGATGCTGGTTCTGACCCGTCCCCGTGTCATGCTGGTTCTGACCCGTCCCCTTGTGATGCTGGTTCTGACCCGTCCCCTTGTGATGCTGGTTCTGACCCGTCCCCTTGTGATGCTGGTTCTGACCCGTCCCCGTGTGATGCTGGTTCTGACCCGTCCCCGTGTGATGCTGGTTCTGACCCGTCCCCGTGTGATGCTGGTTCTGACCCGTCCCCTTGTGATGCTGGTTCTGACCCGTCCCCTTGTGATGCTGGTTCTGCCCCGTCCCCGTGTGATGCTGGTTCTGACCCCCCCCGTGTGATGCTGGTTCTGACCCGTCCCCGTGTGATGCTGGTTCTGACCCGTCCCCTTGTGATGCTGGTTCTGACCCGTCCCCTTGTGATGCTGGTTCTGACCCGTCCCCGTGTGATGCTGGTTCTGACCCGTCCCCTTGTGATGCTGGTTCTGACCCGTCCCCTTGTGATGCTGGTTCTGACCCGTCCCCTTGTGATGCTGGTTCTGACCCGTCCCCGTGTGATGCTGGTTCTGACCCGTCCCCTTGTGTTCTGTAGCTTCTGCATGTAACCGGTCTGCAGAGTCTCTACCCCTCAGAGTGCACCCTGTAGAGAGTAAAGCTCTGACACAGAGCAGACCTGCTGCCTCAGAACGCTTCGTTGGACATTTCTCTTTTTACATTGTTTGCTTCTGGGTATAGTGACGTAACGCTGCGGACCCCAGTAATGACAGACAGATGAGAATGCTGCGTGGGGTCTGGGTGCCGTGTTGGGGGGACGTTGGGGGGCTCGCTGCTCCGCCCTTTGAGGCTCGAGGAGTGGACAGTGAGAGCTGGGTTACTGGTGTCGTTTCCTGGTTGCTGCGTGGGGTCTGCGAGACATTGCGAAACTCAGCCCAAAATCAGCCCGAGCACTCGCACACACCCGCAGCCTGGCACCAGTAACCCAGCTCTCACTGTCCGCTCCTCGAGCCTCACAGGGCGGAGCAGCGAGCCCCCCAACGTCCCCCCAACACGGCACCCAGACCCCACGCAGCATTCTCATCTGTTTGTCATTACTGGGGTCATTTCCTTGTTGCTAACAAACGCCATTGTAAAACATAATCTCTGATGTTCAGCTGTAACGGTGGTGGACTCATCAGAACAGAGTGGGCGAGCTGACCAATCAGAACAGAGTGGGCGAGCTGACCAATCAGATTATACAAATACTAAAGTCAATAAATAAATGTAAAATGTAGATATTCTATAAGTGTGTGTGTGTGTGTGTGTAGGTCACGGTGCAGATGTGAAGTGCGTGGACTGGCACCCCTCCAAAGGCCTGGTGGTCTCCGGCAGCAAAGACAGCCAGCAGCCGATCAAGTTCTGGGACCCGAAGACCGGGCAGAGCCTGGCCACGCTGTGAGTGTTATTATTATTACATAATTCAGACTGACAGTGGTTACAGACCCCACCATTCAGACTGGCAGTGGTTACAGACCCCACCATTCAGACTGGCAGTGGTTACAGACCCCACCATTCAGACGGGCAGTGGTTACAGACCCCACCATTCAGACTGACAGTGGTTACAGACCCCACCATTCAGGACTGCAGTGGTACACCCCACCATTCAGACTGACAGTGGTTACAGACCCCACCATTCAGACTGGCAGTGGTTACAGACCCCACCATTCAGACTGGCAGTGGTTACAGACCCCACCATTCAGACTGGCAGTGGTTACAGACCCCACCATTCAGACTGGCAGTGGTTACAGACCCCACCATTCAGACTGGCAGTGGTTACAGACCCCACCATTCAGACTGGCAGTGGTTACAGACCCCACCATTCAGACTGGCAGTGGTTACAGACCCCACCATTCAGACTGGCAGTGGTTACAGACCCCACCATTCAGACTGGCAGTGGTTACAGACCCCACCATTCAGACGGGCAGTGGTTACAGACCCCACCATTCAGACTAGCAGTGGTTACAGACCCCACCATTCAGACTGGCAGTGGTTACAGACCCCACCATTCAGACTAGCAGTGGTTACAGACCCCACCATTCAGACTGGCAGTGGTTACAGACCCCACCATTCAGACTGACAGTGGTTACAGACCCCACCATTCAGACTAGCAGTGGTTACAGACCCCACCATTTAGACTGGCAGTGGTTACAGACCCCACCATTCAGACTGGCAGTGGTTACAGACCCCACCATTCAGACTGGCAGTGGTTACAGACCCCACCATATGCAGCCACACTTTAGATTTTCTAAATGCGGCCCACACTCCACAGTGACTCGTTTGCGGAGTTTCCCAGCGAAATTGACATCGTAATTTTGACGGTTTGGGCACGAGTTTAAGGATATTACGCCTCACTTTTATTTTTTTTAAAAAGGATCGAAAACCGGATCTGATTTCGGTACGGTATACAGTATACAGTACCCGGTATTTTGGTAATACCGGGTACCGGTATGCACCCCTACCTCAGTGTAGTGTTGATATAATGCCTGTGACCTCCTGTGACCTCCTGCTGACCTCCTGTGACCTCCTGCTGACCTCCTGTGACCTCCTGTGACCTCCTTCTGCTCTCAGCCACGCCCACAAGAACACGGTGATGGAGGTGAAGTGGAACCTGAACGGGAACTGGCTGCTGACGGCCTCCAGAGACCACCTGTGCAAACTGTTCGACATCCGCAACCTGAAGGAGGAGCTGCAGGTGTTCAGGGGCCACAAGAAGGAGGCCACAGGTAACTCTCTATACTCTCTATACTCTCTCTATATATATATATATATATACAACCTGAGGGAGGGGCTGCAGGTGTTCAGGGGCCACAAGAAGGAGGCCACAGGTAACTCTCTATACTCTCTATACTCTCTCTATATATATATATATATATACAACCTGAGGGAGGGGCTGCAGGTGTTCAGGGGCCACAAGAAGGAGGCCACAGGTAACTCTCTATACTCTCTATACTCTCTCTATATATATATATATACAACCTGAGGGAGGGGCTGCAGGTTACCTGAGGTAGTGTTCATTTCGTCAGCTATTTTTTAATTTAGTTTTAGTCTTAGTCCTGTGTTAAATGTCCTTTTTAGTTTTAGTCATATTGAGTCACCTTCCTGTTTTAGTCGACTAAAAGTCTGAGCATTTTAGTCTTATTTTAGTCAAAGAAAACTGTTGAGTCTTTTGTAGTCATCAGATTATATTGAACATTTCAGTCAAACTAGTCTAGCCAAAACCAATCATTTGTCATTTTAGTCAAACGTATTTCACAATAAGATGATGTCTTGTCCTTATTTGATGAAAAGCACAGGTTGAATGATTGAGAGAGCAGCTTTGCAGAGAGTGGTCAGGTGTGTGGTGTGTTACCTGTGTTATGGCCACACTGCTTCCCTTCTGATAAAACAATGCATTCTCTTTGTCTCTCCGCCTCATTGGAGCGAAAATGGGCCCAAATATCGCCTCGTTTCTTTCTCCCAAGCAGTGGTGGCTTTAGGCTTTTTCGTTGTCAGTCATTTTGACAGACAGGATCGTAACATGTCCGTCATAATCCATTATTACCCGTCGAGTGCACAATGTATCACTCACTCGCGCTGACGGGGGACGGTGGGTATTCGGTTAACGCGACCACTGCTCCCAAGCCCTGTTGTTGCCATTTTATTTTCTGTTAAATAAGGTGAGTGAGACCATGAGTGAGACCATGAGTTAGACCATGAGTGAGACCATGAGTGAGACCATGAGTTAGACCAGGAGTTAGACCATGAGTTAGACCATGAGTTAGACCAGGAGTTAGACCATGAGTTAGACCATGAGTTAGACCATGAGTTAGACCATGAGTTAGACCATGAGTTAGACCATGAGTTAGACCAGGAGTTAGACCAGGAGTTAGACCATGAGTTAGACCATGAGTTAGACCCTGAGTTAGACCATGAGTTAGACCATGAGTTAGACCATGAGTTAGACCATGAGTTAGACCATGAGTTAGACCAGGAGTTAGACCAGGAGTTAGACCAGGAGTTAGACCATGAGTTAGACCATGAGTTAGACCATGAGTTAGACCATGAGTTAGACCCTGAGTTAGACCCTGAGTTAGACCATGAGTTAGACCATGAGTTAGACCATGAGTTAGACCAGGAGTTAGACCAGGAGTTAGACCCTGAGTTAGACCAGGAGTTAGACCAGGAGTTAGACCATGAGTTAGACCATGAGTTAGACCATGAGTTAGACCATGAGTTAGACCATGAGTTAGACCATGACAGGGTTCCCGCGGGGTCTTAAAAAGTCTTAAAAAGTCTTAAATTTGATAATATGAATTTAAGGCCTTAAAAAGGTCTTAAATATGGCCAAAAAAATAAGAAAGGTCTTAAATATGATTTAGAAGGTCTTAAAAATGATCGGATTTGAAAGGTACTTCTGTGTTGCGATAGCGTCTAAATGTGTTTTGGGGGAAATGTCCGGGCTGCAAAGTAACCAGTATGGTAATAGCCTTTCAGTTCCCCCCAACAATTTGTATTGAAATAAGTCAACATGGAACCAGTAATCACTAACTTTGTTTCCGCCGGCCCCTTATTGGAGAACACCCAGCTAGTAACCTAGCAACCAAGCTTCAGCTAGCGGCAGACAGAAACTCATGTATCTTCGAATAAATATGGGGAAGTGTAAGTTCAACCGTTATTGGTTGGAAAACATCGAATTTAGTGCTTGGTTGAAACCAGGGGAGGGGAACGTGTTTGAAGCCCGCTGCACCTTTTGCAAAATAAATTAGCGTTTGTTTGGCTAATGTAGCGTTAGCTAGTGCAGCGTTAGCTAGTGCAGCAGCTCCCGCAACAACACATTGGGACCTCCGGGCAACGTTTGGGTCTACGTCAACCCTAAAAGCGGAGGTGCTGTAGACGCTAAATACCGTAGTTAAACACCAATCATACAACAGCAACGATGAAAGATTGTAGCCAAGGCAGCAGAACTCTGAATATAGCTCTTGTCACTCTCTCTCTCACACACACACACACACACACACACACACACACACACACACACACATACACACACACACACACACACTAGGGCTGCTCGATTATGGCAAACATCATAATCACGATTATTTTGGTCAATAATTGATATCACAATTATTAAATACAATTATTAATTGACTTTGAAAACATCCATTTATTGAACTTTAAAACAAATAATAATTTGGACAGTATCTTTTTAACTGTTGATTACCCTGAACGTATAATTCAACGGAAAAAATAAATTAAATAAATGATACATTTAAATAAATAATATCAAAAATAATAAATACCAATAAACAAGATCAACAAATATTTTGGAGCGCACTTCCACACATATGATAAATAAAAATAAATTAGACTAAAATTAATTAATCAAATATGTTGTAGTGCACTGTCACAACCTAGCAAAGCAAAATAATCGATTATGTTGTTTCGTAATTGTGATTAAAATATGATTAATTGCACAGCCCACACACACACACACACACACACACACACACAAGCACACAGAGACACACACACATACACACTTTTTGTCTAACACGCTAACACAGTTCTGTACTGTTATGCTGTTATGTTCAGTCATTGTTCTTATGTTGAACATGAATACATTTATGGGACGTATTTCTTCTTTCATAGCAATTTTCCTTCATACTTTCTTGCCGTGAAATAGGTCTTAAATTCTATTCAAAGTGGTCTTAAAAAGGTCTTAAAAAGTCTTAAATTTGAGTTGGCGAAACCTGCAGGAACCCTGCATGAGTTAGACCAGGAGTTAGACCAGGAGTTAGACCAGGAGTTAGACCAGGAGTTAGACCAGGAGTTAGACCAGGATTTAGACCATGAGTTAGACCATGAGTGAGACCATGAGTTAGACCATGAGTGAGACCATGAGTTAGACCATGAGTTAGACCATGAGTGAGACCATGAGTGAGACCATGAGTGAGACCATGAGTGAGACCATGAGTGAGACCATGAGTGAGACCATGAGTTAGACCATGAGTGAGACCATGAGTGAGACCATGAGTGAGACCATGAGTTAGACCATGAGTTAGACCATGAGTGAGACCATGAGTGAGACCCGAGTCTTCCAGACAGTTCAGTGTGCCGCTGCCCGGTGTAATTCAAATGTACCGCCGCGCGCAGCACAGACACACAGCTGCTGCCCAGCCGCAGCACAGACACACAGCTGCAGCCCAGCCGCAGCACAGACACACAGCTGCTGCCCAGCCGCAGCACAGACACACAGCTGCTGCCCAGCCGCAGCACAGACACACAGCTGCTGCCCAGCCGCAGCACAGACACACAGCTGCTGCCCAGCCGCAGCACAGACACACAGCTGCTGCCCAACCGCAGCACAGACACACAGCTGCTGCCCAGCCGCAGCACAGACACACAGCTGCTGCCCAGCCGCAGCACAGACACACAGCTGCTGCCCAACCGCAGCACAGACACACAGCTGCTGCCCAGCCGCAGCACAGACACACAGCTGCTGCCCAGCCGCAGCACAGACACACAGCTGCTGGGAGAAAAGCTGACTATCAGATGTAACGTTATCTTTGATCATATTTCGTCTCCTCATTTTTCGTCAACGAAAGTAAAGAGAGATTTTGGCATAGTTTTTATTTAGTAAACTACATTTTCGTCCCGTCACTTTTTGTCAGCGATATTGCTGCATGATGATTTCGTTACAGTTAATGTTTACTGCCGTCTCGTCATCGTCTTGTTTTCGTCATGGAAAAAAAGGTAGTTGACGAACGTATTTCGTCATAGTTTTAGTCAACGAAATGAACACTAACCTGAGGGAGGGGTGCAGGTGTTCAGGGGCCACAAGGAGGAGGCCACAGGTAACTCTATATATGTGTGTATATATATATATATGTATATATACCCAGCAGTCTCTCTCCCTCTCTCTGCAGCCGTGATACAGAGACATGTATATATGTATATAGTGATATGTTATAGTATGTATATGTATATACACCCAGCAGTCTCTCTCTCTCTCTGCAGCCGTGATACAGAGACATGTATATATGTATATAGTGATATGTTATAGTATGTATATATACCCAGCAGTCTCTCTCTCTCTGCAGCCGTGGCCTGGCACCCGGTCCACGAGGGTCTGTTCGCCAGCGGAGGCTCTGACGGCTCTCTGCTCTTCTGGAACGCCGGGTAACCAGAGGACCCTGAACGCACCGTCACTCATATATTAATACTTCATTAAGTTCTTTAATCCTACTCCGTATACTCATGATCTGTGTGTGTGCAGGGTGGAGAAGGAGGTGGGGGGGGATGGAGATGGCTCACGAGGGGATGATCTGGAGTCTGGCCTGGCATCCTCTGGGTCACATCCTGTGTTCTGGATCCAACGACCACACCAGGTACACACACACACACACACACACACACACACACACACACACACACACACACACACACACACACACCAGAGTTCCCGTTAGAATATTTTTTCACCGGTCAAAATATCCGTTAAAGTTGAAATCTTCCGGACAAAATGAGAAAAGTGCCGCTCAAAGGTCTTCTTTGTTATTTATTGAGCTTTAAAACAAATTGATGTTCTAACCTGTAGTGTGTGTTGCTCTGCTCACCGCTGCATGTGATCATGCAGAGCTGCGTGTCGACTCGTCAGCAGCAGCTGATCTCTCTCTCCCGTCAGATTAGACTTCACTCGCGTTTATGTCCATATCGATCAGATCTAGCTAGTTCTAGCTAATGATATGACTACCTGCTTATTAAAAGACACCTCAACAATAAGCGTCGCTATGCAACCGGGTGAGGCCGCAAAGTATAGCGCAGCATTATGCATTTGTTTACATGCCCACCGGAACCTCGAGGCATTACCAACAGATCAACGCACAATCAACCCATACAGGACACTCTTTCTCCACGTGTTAGACATTAGAATTTACTCTTCTTGTCTGTCACGTGCTCTTCTCGTCCGTCACGTGCTCTTCTCGTCTGTCACGCGCTCTTCTCGTCCGTCACGCGCTCTTCTCGTCCGTCACGCGCTCTTCTCGTCCGTCACGCGCTCTTCTCGTCCGTCACGCGCTCTTCTCGTCCGTCACGCGCTCTTCTCGTCCGTCACGCGCTCTTCTCGCCCGTCACGCGCTCTTCTCGCCCGTCACGCGCTCTTCTCGTCCGTCACGCGCTCTTCTCGCCCGTCACACGCTCTTCTCGCCCGTCACGCGCTCTTCTCGCCCGCCACGCGCTCTTCTCGCCCGTCACGCGCTCTTCTCGTCCGTCACGCGCTCTTCTCGTCCGTCACGTGCTCTTCTCGTCTGTCACATAAGTGGTGCAACTGATGCGGTATTGTGCTAAAGGGAAATTATTTTGACCGGAGAGATTTAGATTTGCCGGTCTTCAGCATATTTTACCGGTCATAGTCCGGTAATTACAGGCTAACGGGAACTCTGACACACTCACTCACTCACTCACTCACTCACTCACTCACACTCACACTCACACTCACACTCACACTCACACTCACACACACACACACACACACACACACACACAAACACTGACAGACACAAACACTGACAGACACACACTCAGAGACACACACACACACTAAAAATCAGAGTTAGGTTTATTACCAGGTAGGTTTACACGTACGAGGAATTTGACACAAACACACAGATACTCACACACTAACACGCGTCCAGACGTGTGTTTTTTCGCTGACGTGTGTGTTGTGGTGTTTCCTGGTGTGTTTTTTGGTGTTTCCTGACGTGTGTGTGTTGTGGTGTTTCCTGACGTGTGTGTTGTGGTGTTTCCTGACGTGTGTGTTGTGGTGTTTCCTGGTGTGTTTTTTGGTGTTTCCTGACGTGTGTGTGTGGTGTTTCCTGACGTGTGTGTGTGTGTTGTGGTGTTTCCTGACGTGTGTGTGTGTGTTGTGGTGTTTCCTGACGTGTGTGTGTGTGTTGTGGTGTTTCCTGACGTGTGTGTGTGTGTTGTGGTGTTTCCTGACGTGTGTGTGTGTTGTGGTGTTTCCTGACGTGTGTGTGTGTTGTGGTGTTTCCTGACGTGTGTGTGTGTGTTGTGGTGTTTCCTGACGTGTGTGTGTGTTGTGTGTTTCCTGACGTGCGTGTGTGTTGTGGTGTTTCCTGACGTGCGTGTGTGTTGTGGTGTTTCCTGACGTGCGTGTGTGTTGTGGTGTTTCCTGACGTGCGTGTGTGTTGTGGTGTTTCCTGACGTGCGTGTGTGTGTGTTGCAGTAAGTTCTGGACCAGGAACCGACCCGGGGATAAGATGCGGGACCGCTACAACCTGAACCTGCTGCCCGGCATGTCAGAGGACGGCATGGAGTACGGTGAGCCGCAGGGACAAAAAGATACTCTCTGTGTGACACTGCTGTCGCCGGGCAGAATACTGATCTGTGACATCATCACATCATCTGTGACATCATCACATCATCTGTGACATCATCACATCATCTGTGACATCACAGCTCAGAGGGATCAGGTTTCATTCACAGCTGCTTTCAGTTTCTTTAAATACATTTAATATTCAATCAAAATGAAGGTAAATCAACAAATAAAGATATACAGTAACAGAAGTGATTTTATAGAATCGTAGCGCTGACTCGATAACGTTTATTTATTATACTCCATTTCTCTTCTTTTAGGTATTTCTTTAATTGAAATAAGACTTAAAGCCTGAGCTGCTGATGCTCTGGAAACCTCTTTAAATCAACTAAAATATTGCAGATGATTGTTTTAACTGCATGATATACAAACTATTGTTTAAATTAAATATATTTTAATATCCCTGACGAATATTATTATTACACTTTTGTGGGATTTGTCTTTTAATGACAGATTATTATTATTGTAATCCTTTGTAACCAGAAAAAGTGAACAGCATGCTGTTCATGACCTGTGTTCCTAAGGACATGTCTTAAAGGTCACCTGTTGTTTAAAATCCTCTGGGTCACATCCTGGAAGTTTCAGGAACAAAGATTCTCTCTCTTTTTGATCCATTTCTATAAAAACCTGTCTGAAAATGAGCTGATCAGATTTTGGCCACTTAATGATGTCATAACGATGTTTTGTCTTGTGTAACCATTAGCCAATCAGCAACCAAGGTAACCCCCCCCCCCCTTATCACCTGAATCTCCTCCTAGAGCACCATTGAGTTCTTTGTAACCAAATGTCTCTCAGAGGGGCGTGGGGAGGGGCTCCTTATTTTCATCTAAAGTAACAGACAGAGAATCAGCACTTTGGAAACAGGGCTGAAACAGAGGGGATTATGGGTAATGCTGCAATGATCTGTTTGGTGTTTCAGCCAATCAGAGACAGGCTCTGTATATATATGAGACCTGTGATATATTGATGAAGAAGAGGATGATAGGAGACCTTTAATGATAAAGATGGATGTGTGTGTTTCAGACGACGTGGACATGAACAGCGTGGCCTCCATCCCCGGCATGGGGATCCCCGATCAGCTGAAGGCCGCCATGGAGCAGGAGCAGAGCAGTAAGAGACCCTCCTCATACAGACCCTCCTCATACAGACCCTCCTCATACAGACCCTCCTCATACAGACCCTCCTCTTTAGGCGCTTTCACACCGGAGTACTTTTCCCAGTATAGTTCCGATATAGTTCCGAAAATGTGCGTTCACACCAATAAAATCCTGAACCAGAATTTAGTTCATGAACCTTTTCCCCCCCGTTCCGGTCCCTGCTAGAGAGCAGGGACTTTCGTGGGAGAAAAAGGTTCCCAGTTCTGATTGGCTGGGCGGATTGCAAACCACGCCCCGTAAAACTCCCAAAAAGTTTTGTAGAGCCGCCATTTTATTTTCCTCGCATTAGCATTATTAGCATTAGCATTAGCCCAGCACAGAAACGCAGAGAGACTAACTTATGGCAACACAAAAGAAAACATGGGAGCGGTGGAGATGAGGAGGTGTCGGCGTTCTGGCGATTTCCTCTGAAGGCTTCAGTAGAAGCTGCTGGGAGTCCCAGCAGCTTCTACTGAAGCCTTCCCCAACTCCGGGGACTTCCGGCCGGGGACTCCGGGTGGCAGTATACGCCGTGAAGTGGCTGCCTGCCAGTAAACCCAAAGCAGAAGAAGACGAAGTGACATCAGCGGCTTCATTTGCCTAATCCTCCCTCAGGGATTTATTCCGGTGTGAACGCGATCTGTACTAAGTTCATGAGAACTAAAGAGTTCTGATGAACCTTTGTGGGAAAGGTCTGCGGTGTGAAAGCGCCTATTGAGACCCTCCTCAAGGTTCAGATTCAAGGCTTTTATTGTCGTGTGTACAGAGCTACAGTTTAGATATGTTGATGAAGATGTGAGGCTCCTCCAACAGAACAACACAATGACAAGGCAAGTTTATTCCTACAGCACCTTTCAACACAAGGAGAAGAAAAAACACAAGACACGCAACACAGTGGCAACACAGTGGCAACACAGTGGCTCAGTCAGTAGGGGGCTTGGACTGGGAGCTGTAGGGGTCGCCGGTTCAAGTCCCCGACCAGACCTAAAATGTGGAGTGTGGACTGCTACTTTGGAGAGGTCCCAGTTCACCTCCTGCCCTGCCGTGGTGCCCTTGAGCAAGGCACCGGACATCCCCCTTCCCGCCTCACTCCCATTGCTCCCGCGGGCGCTGTACAATAGCTGCCCACTGCTCCTGGTACTAGACTCCTGGTACTAGACTCCTGGTACTATGACTCCTGGTACTAGGATGGGTTAAAAGCAGAGGCCAAATTTCACTGTGTGTGCTGTGTGCTCTGCATGTGTGACCATTAAAGAGGGGGTTTCATCCCTCCCAGTTCTTCTTCTTCTTCTAAAACACACAACACAAGGCAAAACACAAGACACACAACACAAGGCAAAACACAAGACACACAACACAAGGCAAAACACGCAACACAAGGCAAAACACAAGACACGCAACACAAGGCAAAACACGCAACACAAGGCAATTCAAAGAGCTTAATGGCGCGTTTCCACTACACGGCCTCGCTCGGCCCCGCTCGGTATGGCTAGGCCTCGTTAGGACTGGCTCACGTTATGGCGCATTTCCATTACAGTTTAGGAACTGGGGTAGTAACTATAGTAACGCAGTGTAGGCGGAGCCGTGACGTGATCTTCAGAGAACCCCAGAAAAACAACACAGCCGTTAGCTGTTAGCACTCAGAGCTCACAGCTCCTCATATCTGTTCAGAAACTAGACAGAAGTTAAACAAGTACAAACCACAGACTGCCTGTGTCATGGAGAATACAGTCGCTGCTTTATTTATGTCTGTATAGGCCGTTGTTGTGAGTGTGGACGGTCGGAGCATATACTGCGTTAGCTTAGCCAATCTCCATTCAGAAAACAAGCATTTTAAAAGGTGTTTCCCCTGCCGTCTGTCTGCAGACTTGACAAAGCATTAATTCATGGTTTTTACTAACCGGTATCAGTATGTTGTTACTTCGGCATCATTTTGAAACGTGTATTACAATTAAATCACGGTCAAATATGTCCATCTTGTTGTAGTTGTAGCCCCCTTGCCAGCGATGCTCTCTCTAGTTTAGCATACTCAGCCCGACTCAGCCTCGTTGTCTCTGGCCCTAGACCCACGATTTTATGAGGCCAGAAAAACTGTGAATTAGGACCCGCTAGCCGGTACTAGGCCAAGTGGAAACGCAACCAAAGACGGGCCGCTGACGTCACAGCCCTCCTAAACCGTGCTGCGGGCTGTAGTGGAAACGCGCCATAACACTCTTAATGTCTTTCATTGTTGTTAAGAAACATGTTATAACATGGCATCTAAAAACACTCGTTTCAAAGCAAAGCATGAATAACAAAGTGAACTAGAGAATGCAATTCCTGAAGAAATTGCTCGTGGGAATGCTTTATGCTGAAAGGTAATGTGTAAGAAGAAAGTGAAGAATTTAGATTGAAATGAAACATGAACACTGGGGGCTTGAATGTGTGATGAGAGAAAAGAGAGTAAAAAGGCTTGGAAAAGCAGCAGAATATTTGAACTGCAAACTTTTGAACTAACTTGATGGCGAATGATCTGTCGCCATGGCAACGGCATTTGATGACACCCCATAATACGCTTAGATGCGTTGATGGCTGCATCGTTACCAAACCTGTGAAGTTTTGGGCCGTTTGGAACATTTTCACTGAAGTTATGAGAAAACCGTGTTTCATGGCGAGCATTGTGTTGCCAAGGCAACGGCATTTGAAGAAACCCCATAATTGACGTAGAGCTGTTGAGGGCTGGACCGGTGATATACAAGCGAAGATTGGGGGACGATCGGACCGTTTCCATTGGACTTACAGCGACATCGTGCTTCATGGCGAGTGGTCTGTCGCCATGGCAACGGCATTTGATGACACCCCATAATACGCTTAGATGCGTTGATGGCTACATCGTTACCAAACCTGTGAAGTTTTGGGCCGTTTGGAGCATTTTCACTGAAGTTATGAGAAAACCGTGTTTCATGGCGAGCATTGTGTTGCCATGGCAACGGCATTTGAAGAAATCTCAAAACTGTCTCGTAGATGTCTTCACGGCTGGACTGTTAGCACACATGTGAAGTTTGAACATTTTCATAGGAGTTAAAGGGACATCGTGTTTTATGGCGAGCGAAAATTGTCAAAAACAGGTGTCCAGGTTTGTTTTGTAATCAAAGGCTGGACCACAGCATGTTTTAGGCACGTTGGTACTATTCCTGTAGTCAGGCTGCTGTTAATTATATTAAGAACGTTAAGTCCAACAATGTCCCAGATTTCTTAAAAAAATCGCGCAGGGACAACATCGCTTGGAGAACCCGAGGGTTTCAATTGAGCAACAATTTCCATTAGAGCAGGAAGTGACACCAGCTCAAACTGATCCATAACAGCTGAGCAAGTGTCCATGGCAGATGGATCATGGGAAGGAAGTGAGATGTTTGCTCCGATGGCGGCGACCTTGTCAATAAAAAACGGTAGAAACGCCTCACAGGTTTCAGTGGAGGTTACTAAGTTGATGGATTGTGGGACATTTAGTATACAGTTTATAGTGCTAAAAAGAACACGGGGTTTATGACAGTTATTACACCTGAAAAATACTGCGTTTTTTCCGCTTTCACAACTTTCTGATATCTACACCAGGAGCCCTTTAAAATAACACACATGCAGCCTGTCTTTTTTCCATTTGCGTTCAGCCCTTCTGCACTCCTGTCTGGCAGTACGAGTGGACTCGGTTCAAGGTTCAGACTTACCTTTAGGGCCAACAGCTTTTAGTGGAGCAACAGTAACTCCTCTGTATCACCACCAATAGGATATGCTCTGTCATCCACAACATATTTGAAGGCAGCAGGAAACTGAACAGCGGTGGAGGGTTTAAGCATGCGATGAAATGTAACAGACTGTGGACACTGTTTACCAACAACACAAGGGAGGGTGACGTCAAATAGAACAGGCATGTGATTGGAGAACCGGCTAACTCAAACATATCCAGGTTAGGTTGAACCGGCTTCGTAGTACAGGCCTCAGGTCAGAAGAAGCTGTAGCTGCTGAGCATCTGATGATAACACCTTTGGGGAGCGCCAGTGTAAATAGCTATCCCAGGAAGGAATGAGCCCTGAGGACTAAAGCCCTTAATGATGTGGCTCACCTGTCCCCAGGTAAAGAGGCCCCCGAGGTGGAGATGTCCATCCCGGGTCTGGACTGGGGAATGGATGAGGTGATGGGCAAGGACAGCAAGAAGGTCCCGCAGAAGAAGGTCCCATACGCCAAGCCCATCCCCGCGCAGTTCCAACAGGTAACACACTCCCTCTGTACAGGTAACACACCTGTACAGGTAACACACTCTCCCTCTGTACAGGTAACACACCTGTACAGGTAACACACCTGTACAGGTAACACACACTCCGTCTGTACAGGTAACACACTCAGGTAACACACACTCGGGTCATACAGGTAACACACACTCTGGTCATACAGGTAACACACACTCGGGTCATACAGGTAACACACACTCGGGTCATACAGGTAACACACACTCTGGTCATACAGGTAACACACTCGGGTCATACAGGTAACACACACTCGGGTCATACAGGTAACACACACTCGGGTCATACAGGTAACACACACTCGGGTCATACAGGTAACATACACTCAGGTAACAAACACTCAGGTCATACAGGTAACACACACTCAGGTCATACAGGTAACAAACACTCAGGTCATACAGGTAACAAACACTCAGGTCATACAGGTAACACACACTCAGGTCATACAGGTAACAAACACTCAGGTCATACAGGTAACATACACTCAGGTAACACATACTCAGGTCATACAGGTAACATACACTCAGGTAACACACACTCAGGTAACACACACTCAGGTCATACAGGTAACATACACTCAGGTAACACACACTCAGGTCATACAGGTAACATACACTCAGGTAACACACACTCAGGTCATACAGGTAACAAACACTCAGGTAACAAACACTCAGGTCATACAGGTAACATACACTCAGGTAACAAACACTCAGGTAACACACACTCAGGTCATACAGGTAACAAACACTCAGGTAACAAACACTCAGGTAACACACACTCAGGTCATACAGGTAACAAACACTCAGGTCATACAGGTAACACACACTCAGGTAACAAACACTCAGGTAACACACACTCAGGTCATACAGGTAACAAACACTCAGGTAACAAACACTCAGGTCATACAGGTAACACACACTCAGGTAACAAACACTCAGGTCATACAGGTAACACACACTCAGGTCATACAGGTAACAAACACTCAGGTCATACAGGTAACACACACTCAGGTCATACAGGTAACAAACACTCAGGTCATACAGGTAACATACACTCAGGTAACACATACTCAGGTCATACAGGTAACATACACTCAGGTAACACACACTCAGGTCATACAGGTAACATACACTCAGGTAACACACACTCAGGTCATACAGGTAACAAACACTCAGGTCATACAGGTAACATACACTCAGGTAACACACACTCAGGTCATACAGGTAACATACACTCAGGTAACACACACTCGGGTCATACAGGTAACATACACTCAGGTAACACACACTCGGGTCATACAGGTAACATACACTCAGGTCATACAGGTAACATACACTCAGGTAACACACACTCAGGTCATACAGGTAACATACACTCAGGTAACACACACTCGGGTCATACAGGTAACATACACTCAGGTAACACACACTCTTTTCCGACAGGTAACACACACTCTTTTCCGACAGGTAACACACACTCAGGTCATACAGGTAACACACACTCAGGTCATACAGGTAACACACACTCAGGTCATACAGGTAACATACACTCAGGTAACACACACTCTTTTCCGACAGGTAACACACACTCTTTTCCGACAGGTAACACACACTCAGGTCATACAGGTAACACACACTCAGGTCATACAGGTAACACACACTCAGGTCATACAGGTAACACACACTCAGGTCATACAGGTAACACACACTCAGGTAACACACACTCACCTGTCATGTTACTTTCAGAGTATTATTTAGTGGCAGGTGTGTATTCTGCCCAGGTGTGTGTTCTGCCCAGGTGTGTGTTCTGTCTCTCACAGTGTGTCTCTCCCCCCACCCCCCCCCCCAGGCCTGGGCAGACAACAAAGTTCCCATGATGCCCCCTGGTGGAGACAAAGAGAGGAAGGGAGATCCGTCCGACCCGGAGCTGGGCTTCAACCCCCTGGAGGTACGTTCACACGCTCATTAACACATCACATCTACACTGAACACCGTCAGGGCACTCAAAGGATTGTGGGTAAAGGAGAACCATAGAGCAGCTCTAAAGGTGCGTCACACGCGGCGCGCTAACATGTAAAGTCTGTTTCTCTGAGCCAATCAGAGGTGAGAATCTCAGCCTGTCGTCACTGACTGTTTTGAATCAGAAACCAACAGCAGCCGTTAGCTGTTAGCCGTTAGCTGTTAGCTGTTAGCCGTTAGCTGTTAGCCGTTAGCTGTTAGCCATTAGCTGTTAGCCGTTAGCTGTTAGCCATTAGCTCTTAGCTGTTAGCCGTTAGCTGTTAGCCATTAGCTGTTAGCCGTTAGCTCTCTCCTATCAGTAACTCCTGTCTCACTAACAGGTGTCAGTAGTCTCTCAGTATGCAGAGGATCAGGGGCCCCTAACTCTGACCTGTGTGTTTTCCTCTCAGCAGATGAAGATGAGCTCAGACGGGAACATGGGGCCCCCTCAGGGCTCGATGCCCCCCTTCTCCGGCCCTGGGGGACCCGGGGGCCCGATGCCTCCTGGCCAGCAGGGCTTTCCCCCCAACATGCCTCCTCAGCAGATGCCCAACAACATGGGACCCCCCATGCAGCCTCCCTTCATGCCCCCCGGACAGATGGGGCCCCCCTCTGGACCCCAGGCTCACCAGGGACCCCATCAGGGCATGATGGGGCCCCCGGACATGCAGAGACACCCTGGCCCTCCCAGGAACATGGGACCCCAGGGGCCTCACGGTATGGGACCCAGAGGGATGCAGGGGCCCCATGGAGGGATGATGGGCCCCCCTCCTCGAGGAATGGGTCCAAGAGACCCTCAGGGACCTCCACCTCAGGGGGGCATGATGCCACCTCAGGGGGGCATGATGGGGCCCCCACCCAGGACACAAAACAACTATGGGATGGGCAACATGCAGGGGCCCCCGGGAGGGATGCACGGGCCCCCAGGAAACATGCAGGGGCCCCCAGGTAACATGCAAGGACCACATGGAAACATGCAGGGGCCCCATGGAAACATGCAGGGACCCCCAGGAAACATGCAGGGGCCCCCAGGAAACATGCAGGGGCCCCCAGGAAACATGCAAGGACCCCCAGGGAACATGCAGGGGCCCCCAGGGAACATGCAGGGACCCCCAGGGAATATGCAGGGGGCCCCATACATGCAGAACTCGGGGCCCATGATGCACGGGATGGGTTCTCAGGGGTCCAACAACAAAGGTAAGAGGGAGGGGCCCCCGGTGCAGGTTAATCACCACGAGGCCCCTCCCCGTCCTGATAACCTCTGTTTTCTCTCCTCAGATCCCCGAGGGCCCCCGCCCAACCACCACATGGGCCCCCCCGAGAGACAGGGGGGGGGGGCAGGACCAGGGCTCGGGCTCGGGCCCCTACTGGGGCGAGCAGCAGGGCCGCCGGGGGCCACAGGACTTCGAGGGGGGACAGGACTTCCACAACAGAGCGGAGGAGGGCTGGAGGCCGGGGTACCGGGGGGGCCACAGAGGGGGGGGGGTGGCAACTGGGGCCCCGAAGAGAGGTTCCCCGGTGGGGAGTTCAGGGGCCGAAGGGACGACAGGTGAGGTGTTAGCACGTTAGCGTGTGAGCGTGTTAGCACGTGAGCGTGTTAGCACGTTAGCGTGTGAGCGTGTTAGCACGTTAGGGTGTGAGCGTGTTAGCACGTTAGCGTGTGAGCGTCTTAGCACGTTAGCGTGTTGGCATCTTAGCATGTTAGCGTGTTGGCGTGTGAGCGTCTTAGCACGTTAGCGTGTTAGCACGTTAGCGTGTTAGCATGTGAACGTCTTAGCACGTTAGCGTGTTAGCATGTGAGCGTTCTACTGAATCGATGTGAAAACAAACTAAAGAGAAGATGGATTCTTTATTTATCCCAAGTTCAGAAACATTTTGAAGTCAATAAACAACAATCACAACATTTCTGTAAAATAGAATAAAATAAACATGAAAAACAAGATGTTGATTTCTCAGTAGAAAAGATTCAGAGGAGTAAATCCACACTTTAAGGAACTCTCCAACAGACCCATGCACACACCTGAGGGTCTGAGCATCAGCTGTTTCCAGCTCAGCATGTTGTAATGGACTGAGTTTCTGTTCACATTGACCCACTCATCATCATCATTTGTACGTGTTTTCCTGATACTAGCGCAGTATTACAGGTCAGGGGTTATTATTATTGAGCTCAGACTGGTTCTGACTCGAAGCTCCTGCTGTCTCCGAGGGTTTGTACGGGTTTCCTAACGCCCTTCCTGTGGTTCTGGTCCAGGTTCAGAGGAAGCGGGCGGCCCGGCGCTCGGGGTTTCCCTGAGGAGTTCAGCGGGTCGGAGGAGGGCTTCGAGGGCCCGGAAGACGGGAGCCGAGGCTGGGACCCCGGGGCCCGAGGGGGGGCTCGAGGGAGGCCCCCCCGAGGAGGAGGAGGAGGAGGAGGAGGAGGTGGAGGAGGAGGAGGAGGTGAGGAGCATTATGCAAAGCTTGTTTTCGCCGTTTTCTGCAAATGCTAATTAATGCATCTTATGCTAATTGTGTAAATATCCAACATATTCAGGTTAGAAGAAGAATAGAATAGGGAGGGATGAAACCCTCTTTAATGGTCACACATGCAGAGCACACAGCACACACAGTGAAATTTGGCCTCTGCTTTTAACCCATCCTAGTACAAGGAGTCTAGTACTAGGAGCAGTGGGCAGCTATTGTACAGCGCCCGGGGAGCAATGGGAGTGGGGGGGAAGGGGGGTGTCCGGTGCCTTGCTCAAGGGCACCACAATCCAGCAGGTTAGCATCCAGCAGGTAGCATCAAGCAGGTAGCATCCAGCAGGTTAGCATCCAGCAGGTTAGCATCCAGCAGGTTAGTATCCAGCAGGTAGCATCAAGCAGGTAGCATCCAGCAGGTTAGCATCCAGCAGGTAGCATCAATCAGGTAGCATCCAGCAGGTTAGCATCCAGCAGCTAGCATCCAGCAGCTAGCATCCAGCAGGTTAGCATCCAGCAGGTTAGCATCCAGCAGTTAGCATCCAGCAGGTAGCATCCAGCAGGTTAGCATCCAGCAGGTAGCATCCAGCAGCTAGCATCCAGCAGCTAGCATCCAGCAGCTTAGCATCCAGCAGGTTAGCATCCAGCAGGTTAGCATCCAGCCGTTTAGCATCCAGCAGCTAGCATCCAGCCGTTTAGCATCCAGCAGGTAGCATCCAGCAAGGTAGCATCCAGCAGGTTAGCATCCAGCAGGTTAGCATCCAGCAGGTTAGCATCTAGCAGGGTAGCATCCAGCAGGTTAGCATCTAGCAGGGTAGCATCCAGCAGGTTAGCATCTAGCAGGGTAGCATCCAGCAGGTTAGCATCCAGCAAGTTAGCATCCAGCAGGTTAGCATCCAGCAGCTTAGCATCCAGCAGCTTAGCATCCAGCAGGTTAGCATCTAGCAGGTTAGCATCCAGCAGGGTAGCATCCAGCAGGTTAGCATCCAGCAGGTTAGCATCCAGCAGGTTAGCATCTAGCAGGGTAGCATCCAGCAGGTTAGCATCTAGCAGGGTAGCATCCAGCAGGTTAGCATCTAGCAGGGTAGCATCCAGCAGGTTAGCATCCAGCAGGTTAGCATCCAGCAGCTTAGCATCCAGCAGGTTAGCATCCAGCAGGTTAGCATCTAGCAGGTTAGCATCCAGCAGGGTAGCATCCAGCAGGTTAGCATCTAGCAGGTTAGCATCCAGCAGGGTAGCATCCAGCAGGGTAGCATCCAGCAGGTTAGCATCTAGCAGGGTAGCATCCAGCAGGTTAGCATCTAGCAGGTTAGCATCCATCATACATTTAACCACCATCATAAGAACTGGCTTTTAAGCAATCAAAATGTGAACCCTTTTAACTGTATCAAGGTATGATAGTATTTCATCTGTTAGCATGTGTGTCTGTTCCTCTCTATTGTTGTTCCTCTCTATTGTTGTTCTGCTGTATTCTATTTAATTATGTTTTTATTTCTCTAGTCTTGTTGTGGTTATTTAACATCTTGCGAAGGACAACAGTTGAAAATTAGCCTGCTGGCTAATACTGGCTCATTTACAGCAATGTGGATTAATGTGCACTGTCCTTTAAATAAATAAACAAACAAACAAACACAGACCTCACTAACTATTCTCATATCACGTGAACATCTCTACTTCACTTCATACAGACCTTACTAACTATTCTCATATCACGTGAACATCTCTACTTCACTTCATACAGACCTTACTAACTATTCTCATATCACATGAACAGCTCTACTTCACTTCATACAGACCTTACTAACTATTCTCATATCACGTGAACAGCTCTACTTCACTTCATACAGACCTCACTAACTATTCTCATATCACGTGAACATCTCTACTTCACTTCATACAGACCTTACTAACTATTCTCATATCACGTGAACAGCTCTACTTCACTTCATACAGACCTTACTAACTATTCTCATATCACATGAACAGCTCTACTTCACTTCATACAGACCTTACTAACTATTCTCATATCACGTGAACAGCTCTACTTCACTTCATACAGACCTCACTAACTATTCTCATATCACGTGAACATCTCTACTTCACTTCATACAGACCTTACTAACTATTCTCATATCACATGAACAGCTCTACTTCACTTCATACAGACCTTACTAACTATTCTCATATCACATGAACAGCTCTACTTCACTTCACACAGACCTCACTAACTATTCTCATATCACATGAACAGCTCTACTTCACTTCACACAGACCTCACTAACTATTCTCATATCACGTGAACATCTCTACTTCACTTCATACAGACCTCACTAACTATTCTCATATCACGTGAACAGCTCTACTTCACTTCACACAGACCTCACTAACTATTCTCATATCACATGAACAGCTCTACTTCACTTCATACAGACCTTACTAACTATTCTCATATCACGTGAACAGCTCTACTTCACTTCACACAGACCTCACTAACTATTCTCATATCACATGAACATCTCTACTTCACTTCACACAGACCTTACTAACTATTCTCATATCACATGAACATCTCTACTTCACTTCATACAGACCTTACTAACTATTCTCATATCACGTGAAGAGCTCTACTTCACTTCATACAGACCTCACTAACTATTCTCATATCACGTGAACAGCTCTACTTCACTTCACACAGACCTCACTAACTATTCTCATATCACATGAACATCTCTACTTCACTTCATACAGACCTCACTAACTATTCTCATATCACATGAACATCTCTACTTCACTTCATACAGACCTCACTAACTATTCTCATATCACGTGAACAGCTCTACTTCACTTCATACAGACCTCACTAACTATTCTCATATCACGTGAACAGCTCTACTTCACTTCATACAGACCTTACTAACTATTCTCATATCACGTGAACAGCTCTACTTCACTTCACACAGACCTCACTAACTATTCTCATATCACATGAACATCTCTACTTCACTTCATACAGACCTTACTAACTATTCTCATATCACGTGAACAGCTCTACTTCACTTCATACAGACCTCACTAACTATTCTCATATCACGTGAACAGCTCTACTTCACTTCATACAGACCTCACTAACTATTCTCATATCACGTGAACAGCTCTACTTCACTTCATACAGACCTTACTAACTATTCTCATATCACGTGAACAGCTCTACTTCACTTCACACAGACCTCACTAACTATTCTCATATCACATGAACATCTCTACTTCACTTCATACAGACCTCACTAACTATTCTCATATCACGTGAACATCTCTACTTCACTTCATACAGACCTCACTAACTATTCTCATATCACGTGAACAGCTCTACTTCACTTCATACAGACCTCACTAACTATTCTCATATCACGTGAACAGCTCTACTTCACTTCATACAGACCTTACTAACTATTCTCATATCACGTGAACAGCTCTACTTCACTTCACACAGACCTCACTAACTATTCTCATATCACATGAACATCTCTACTTCACTTCATACAGACCTTACTAACTATTCTCATATCACATGAACAGCTCTACTTCACTTCATACAGACCTTACTAACTATTCTCATATCACATGAACATCTCTACTTCACTTCACACAGACCTTACTAACTATTCTCATATCACATGAACATCTCTACTTCACTTCACACAGACCTTACTAACTATTCTCATATCACATGAACATCTCTACTTCACTTCATACAGACCTCACTAACTATTCTCATATCACGTGAACATCTCTACTTCACTTCATACAGACCTTACTAACTATTCTCATATCACGTGAACATCTCTACTTCACTTCACACAGACCTTACTAACTATTCTCATATCACGTGAACAGCTCTACTTCACTTCACACAGACCTTACTAACTATTCTCATATCACATGAACAGCTCTACTTCACTTCATACAGACCTCACTAACTATTCTCATATCACGTGAACAGCTCTACTTCACTTCATACAGACCTCACTAACTATTCTCATATCACGTGAACAGCTCTACTTCACTTCACACAGACCTTACTAACTATTCTCATATCACGTGAACAGCTCTACTTCACTTCATACAGACCTCACTAACTATTCTCATATCACATGAACAGCTCTACTTCACTTCACACAGACCTTACTAACTATTCTCATATCACGTGAACAGCTCTACTTCACTTCATACAGACCTCACTAACTATTCTCATATCACATGAACAGCTCTACTTCACTTCATACAGACCTCACTAACTATTCTCATATCACGTGAACAGCTCTACTTCACTTCATACAGACCTCACTAACTATTCTCATATCACATGAACAGCTCTACTTCACTTCATACAGACCTCACTAACTATTCTCATATCACATGAACAGCTCTACTTCACTTCATACAGACCTCACTAACTATTCTCATATCACGTGAACAGCTCTACTTCACTTCACACAGACCTTACTAACTATTCTCATATCACGTGAACATCTCTACTTCACTTCATACAGACCTCACTAACTATTCTCATATCACGTGAACATCTCTACTTCACTTCATACAGACCTTACTAACTATTCTCATATCACATGAACAGCTCTACTTCACTTCATACAGACCTTACTAACTATTCTCATATCACATGAACAGCTCTACTTCACTTCACACAGACCTCACTAACTATTCTCATATCACGTGAACAGCTCTACTTCACTTCATACAGACCTCACTAACTATTCTCATATCACGTGAACAGCTCTACTTCACTTCATACAGACCTCACTAACTATTCTCATATCACGTGAACAGCTCTACTTCACTTCATACAGACCTCACTAACTATTCTCATATCACGTGAACATCTCTACTTCACTTCATACAGACCTCACTAACTATTCTCATATCACATGAACAGCTCTACTTCACTTCATACAGACCTCACTAACTATTCTCATATCACGTGAACATCTCTACTTCACTTCATACAGACCTCACTAACTATTCTCATATCACGTGAACATCTCTACTTCACTTCATACAGACCTCACTAACTATTCTCATATCACATGAACAGCTCTACTTCACTTCATACAGACCTCACTAACTATTCTCATATCACATGAACAGCTCTACTTCACTTCACACAGACCTCACTAACTATTCTCATATCACATGAACATCTCTACTTCACTTCACACAGACCTTACTAACTATTCTCATATCACGTGAACATCTCTACTTCACTTCACACAGACCTCACTAACTATTCTCATATCACATGAACAGCTCTACTTCACTTCATACAGACCTTACTAACTATTCTCATATCACGTGAACAGCTCTACTTCACTTCACACAGACCTCACTAACTATTCTCATATCACATCTACAGCTCTACTTCACTTCACACAGACCTCACTAACTATTCTCATATCACATCTACAGCTCTACTTCACTTCATACAGACCTCACTAACTATTCTCATATCACATGAACATCTCTACTTCACTTCACACAGACCTTACTAACTATTCTCATATCACGTGAACAGCTCTACTTCACTTCACACAGACCTTACTAACTATTCTCATATCACATGAACATCTCTACTTCACTTCATACAGACCTTACTAACTATTCTCATATCACGTGAACAGCTCTACTTCACTTCATACAGACCTTACTAACTATTCTCATATCACGTGAACAGCTCTACTTCACTTCACACAGACCTTACTAACTATTCTCATATCACGTGAACAGCTCTACTTCACTTCACACAGACCTTACTAACTATTCTCATATCACATGAACATCTCTACTTCACTTCATACAGACCTTACTAACTATTCTCATATCACATGAACAGCTCTACTTCACTTCATACAGACCTTACTAACTATTCTCATATCACGTGAACAGCTCTACTTCACTTCATACAGACCTCACTAACTATTCTCATATCACATGAACAGCTCTACTTCACTTCATACAGACCTCACTAACTATTCTCATATCACATGAACAGCTCTACTTCACTTCATACAGACCTCACTAACTATTCTCATATCACATGAACAGCTCTACTTCACTTCATACAGACCTTACTAACTATTCTCATATCACATGAACAGCTCTACTTCACTTCATACAGACCTCACTAACTATTCTCATATCACGTGAACAGCTCTACTTCACTTCATACAGACCTCACTAACTATTCTCATATCACATGAACAGCTCTACTTCACTTCATACAGACCTTACTAACTATTCTCATATCACATGAACAGCTCTACTTCACTTCATACAGACCTCACTAACTATTCTCATATCACATGAACAGCTCTACTTCACTTCATACAGACCTCACTAACTATTCTCATATCACGTGAACAGCTCTACTTCACTTCATACAGACCTCACTAACTATTCTCATATCACATGAACAGCTCTACTTCACTTCATACAGACCTCACTAACTATTCTCATATCACGTGAACAGCTCTACTTCACTTCATACAGACCTCACTAACTATTCTCATATCACGTGAACAGCTTAGGAAATACACAGAATATAAAGTCGTCCAACATCACGGCTGGATTTAATACCAACCAGGTATTTCTGACTGAACTCCAGAGAGGGCAAGAGTACATCCTGTACTCAAGTAGAAGTACACACATCCTGTACTCAAGTAGAAGTACACACATCCTGTACTCAAGTAGAAGCACAGATACTCGTGTTTAAAGATACTCTGGTGAAAGTAGAAGTACTGACTAAACTTCTTTACAAGTCAAAGTAAAGAGGGCTTTGAAATGTACTTCAGTAAAAAGTACCCATAACTACCAGCTGTTTTAAAGAGTACCTTCCGCCTTCCTGTCTGCAGGTCACGAGGGGTATCATGAGGGCCAGATGCATGATGGGTCGTCTCCGGTGGGGCGCTCCTCCTCCCTACAGGGCATGGACATGGCCTCGCTGCCCCCCCGCAAGAGACCCTGGCAGGAGGGGCCGGGGACCGCAGAGAGGGAGGCCCCGGGGCCCGAAGGAGGTACGTGCTCTTATTGTGAAGTTGCGCTCTTATTGTGAAGTCAGGTCATCGTGCTCTTATTGTGAAGTTGCGCTCTTATTGTGAAGTTGCGCTCTTATTGTGAAGTCAGGTCATCGTGCTCTTATTGTGAAGTCAGGTCATCGTGCTCTTATTGTGAAGTCAGGTCATCGTGCTCTTATTGTGAAGTCAGGTCATCGTGCTCTTATTGTGAAGTCAGGTCATCGTGCTCTTATTGTGAAGTCAGGTCATCGTGCTCTTATTGTGAAGTCAGGTCATCGTGCTCTTATTGTGAAGTCTTATAAGTCGCGTTCACACCAAGTACTTTTCCCACAGTAGTTCATGAGAGCTCAGTTCATGAGAGCTCTTTTAGTTCTGATGAACTCTTTTAGTTCTGATGAACTCTTTTAGTTCTGATGAACTCTTTTAGTTCTGATGAACTCTTTTAGTTCTGATGAACTCTTTTAGTTCTGATGAACTCTTTTAGTTCTGATGAACTGAAGCAGATCGCGTTCACACCAAAATGAGTTCCTGAGAGAGGATTAGGCAAATGAGCCGCTGACGTCACTTCTTCTTCTTCTGCTTTGGGTTTACTGGCAGGCCGCAAACAACTTCACGGCGAGTACAGTAGGTGGCGGTATGCACCTTAAAGTTGCAATCCGCCAAAAAACCGAGAGAAGAAGAAGAACCTCCCGCGTATACTGCCACGCCCACCTGCTGTATGTGAGGCGTCTGTTTACCTTCCGACCTCAGACATGAGCTTCGTCTGAGTTATTTAAGCAAACACAAATACAGATCGTCGACCAGTCAAATGCAATAGCAATGCTGATTCGGAGGCGCCGGCGGTTAAGAAGGATTGACAAAAGGATTGGACGACGACATGCACGCGCTACGCTACGTGTGAAATGAATAAACTGTGCCAACATTTAGTTTTAGGTCAAATAATTATTACACTGCTATTACTTATCCTAGATGCACAGCCAACCCCTCGATTAGCATCTCCTGGAGACACAGAATCTGGGGGTGCCCACCTCAACACTCAGTGATAAACATTTGCGACGCTATAAACGAAAGCGTACATCATAACATGTGGAGCTAGGTAGCTAGAAACGCTAACATGGCTTACCTTGGTCAAAACTGGTCTTCAATGGCATTAAAACGATAAACGATGCTGCAGTTAATCCATAGATTAATCTAATGTGTCTGTGTCCTCTTTGAAATGATTTCTGATAATCCATAAGCAATAAAACTGCTTTTTAGTTTCCAAATGCCAGAGCTAGAATGTAGCTCCACTCTGCTTTACATTTACATGCGCGCAGCCCCCACCTTTTCTCTTCACAACGTGTGTGTGTGGGGGACTCCCCCTTCGATTATATTGGCTCTAACGGTCAGAAAGAGGTGTCAACCATCAAAATCGACCAAGGGGGGCCAGAGATATGGAAAAAAAAACATTTTCACCCAAATCACCTCAGAGGTGGTGGTTTTTGCTAAACCTCTCTAAAAAAGGTCAAATGTCACTTGTTTTGCATCAATCTTGATACAGGGTACTTATTATATGTTGTACTTTGGATTCCTAAAGCTTTTAGTCTACTAACCCATCATCCAAGGGTAGTTTTCACTATAATACCCCTTTCACACCAACGGTGTTTCAGGGCCGGTTCGGTGCTGGAGCTTGAAAAGCACCGGGTTTTCCTGTTCACACCGCAGCGGAGCCGCCTCTAAGCTCCGGAATCCGGTTCGTTTCGAGCACCAAAAAGTTGTCCGTCTAGAAGCAAGAACCGCATACGTCACGCTTACGTCGGAGGGGGGCGAGATTAACCTGAGCTAACACTTAAGGCGAGTACGGCAAATAAAAGTTGTAACCAGCAGTAGTGCTGAGCAAAGTGACTAGAACGCAACCACACACTTGTTAAAAAAAACACGCTTTATAAAGTCAGGCAACACTAACCAGGCTTCGTGTGATTCTGTTTATTTGTACCTTACTTTGACCATCCGTTCTCTGTTATTGATCATTGTGGAGAGCAGGCAGACGTTTGTTATTATAGCAGCTATCGGATGGAATCAATACATGGGCTGCACAGGTTGTCATGTCCGACTATCACAAGTAGAATCATAATGAAAAATACGCCGGTAAAAAGTGCCTGTAGAAAACGGCTTAGCAAGTATTCAGTTTAGCTTCGGTTGCTATGCTAACATCACCCATGTTATACCAGAGAAACTTTCATAACAGCGTTGTGATGCCAAACAGCGTCAATTCAGACTGACACACATTCACTTAAGGGGAACTGGGGATATGTATCAGCTGCTTGTGTGACAGTCAGACAGTGAATACTTTAGAGCCGTGTGAGCTAACCCGGAGCTAACGGGAGAATACACTCCCGTGGAAGAGCAGCCAGCACTGCAGCGGGCGCTAAATGAAACACATTAATAAACAATGAACCACGGCACTCTGGAGAAAAGTATAAGGTTGGAGAAGTCGTTATTTAATTTAATCTGGCTTCGTATGATTAAAAGCAACGCAGTCCCCGGCCCGTTGTTGTTGTGAGGTGAGCTCCGGCGTTGGGGAGAAACTCAGCGACGTAAACTGTGACGTCATGACGCAGCAGCGGCAGCACCAGTCGGGCTCTGAGCGGTGTGAAAAGAGCCGGCGCTAAACCGAAGAACCGGTTCTGAACCAGAAAAGCTCTAGCACGGAGCTAGAACCGGAGTTGCGTTGGTGTGAAAGGGGCATAAGTAAAAAAGAATTTTTGGACGGACACTATAATTTACAGTTTTTTACTATGTAAAATCTGAATTTTCTTTAAAATAAAAAACATCTATATTGATTCTGATAATTCTACATCCAACTCACAGATGTAACCTTGCTTTGATAAAAGAAATTATTCATATAACCCTTTTAGAAGTTAGGTTGTAGTCATTTGTTTTGGGCATGTCATTTTCGAGCCTGAAACATGAAAAACAGGCTTGGTGCTTAACAGGTTAAATGTGCAAAATATTAGAACATCAGTCTTTGTGGCAGGTAATCAACTGTTTAAGCTTTTCCATTAACATGGAGAATGAATGTTGCAAATGACACATGAAATTATAGCAACTACCATGTAAGTTATTGTTTACCTCTCTATTCATAGCCACAGAGGTAGCATTATGTCCAGCTAGCATGCTAATTGCTAACGTTATATTATCGTTTTATCCCGGAGGGGAAAACTCACTAGTTTCCAATCCAGAGAGAAACACCTCGCCTGAAACACACGATTAGTGCCATGAGTTAGTGAAGCAAATTACAGAACATTGCACACTTATTCACAAGTCAAAACGTGTTCATAGCGGCTGAGAATAGCTAGCTAGCTAGATGTTGTTAACCATCTTGGAGATATGATAGCAAGTTCAGCTAGCATGGCTAGCTCGATCTACTGAGCAAATAAAAGTACATCTGAGACCAGTATTGTGCAGATTAAAACAGTGCATGTAGTTTACTTCGTCCCGGCATGACTTTGCACTGTGGACGGTTCCCAGGGTCGGCTAACTTTGCTGAACAACGCTCCTACATTTTGCAGTTGGAAACAGCCTTCAGTAGAAGCTTCTGGATCGCGTCCTCCGAGTAAATCGCCAGAAGCGCCGACACATCCTCATCACTCCACCGCTCCAATGATTTATTTAGTGTTGCTATAATAACTGCTTTCACAAAAGTAATCTCTTCGTTGGTGCGCAGCGCTGAGTTTTTAATGCGAGCAAATACAATAGCGGCCTTCAAAAAAAAATCAGAGATTTGCGGGGCGTGGTTTGCATTCCACACAGCCAATCAGACGTATGAACCTTTTTCTCCCACGAAAGTCCCTGCTCTCTAGCAGGGACTGAAAACGGGGTAAAAATGGTTCTGATTAACTAATTTAGTTCAGGGGGCTTTTTGGTGTGAACGCAAATATATCGTAGTTCAGAGGGTCCTCCACTATTGTGGGAAAAGTACTCCGGTGTGAACGCGCTCTTATTGTGAAGTCAGGTCATCTGTGCTCTTATTGTGAAGTCAGGTCATCTGTGCTCTTATTGTGAAGTCAGGTCATCGCGCTCTTATTGTGAAGTCAGGTCATCTGTGCTCTTATTGTGAAGTCAGGTCATCGCGCTCTTATTGTGAAGTCAGGTCATCATGCTCTTATTGTGAAGTCAGGTCATCGCGCTCTTATTGTGAAGTCAGGTCATCGCGCTCTTATTGTGAAGTCAGGTCATCTGTGCTCTTATTGTGAAGTCAGGTCATCTGTGCTCTTATTGTGAAGTCAGGTCATCATGCTCTTATTGTGAAGTCAGGTCATCTGTGCTCTTATTGTGAAGTCAGGTCATCTGTGCTCTTATTGTGAAGTCAGGTCATCTGTGCTCTTATTGTGAAGTCAGGTCATCATGCTCTTATTGTGAAGTCAGGTCATCATGCTCTTATTGTGAAGTCAGGTCATCATGCTCTTATTGTGAAGTCTAACCTGCTGTGTGTGTGTGTGTGTGCAGGGCGCCCCCCCCAGAGGGAGGACGGGGGGTACGGTGTTCGGGGGGGTCGAGGAGGCTGGGGCCCCGGAGGCCCTGCCCCCCGGAGAGGAGGCCCCGCCCCAGAGGACCACCGAGGGGGGGCCGCGGCCGGTAGTCCCCCCCCCATCAGAGACTCAGATGGAGGCTCCTGATTGGTCCGTTTTTAATGTAAAATATTGTAGAGAATCATCTGCCGTCTTTTATTTCACTTCGTCTGGTTGTTTTTGTAAAAGATTTCTATGTTTGTGTTTTCACCGAGGTGGAAAATAAAGATTCACACTTCAATTCAACGTGTGTGTGTGTACCGTGTACCGTGTGTGTGTGTGTGTGTGTGTACCGTGTGTGTGTGTGTGTACCGTGTGTGACAGAGAAGTCGATGCTGCCCCAGAACGCCTCGTTGGAGATCTTTCTTTCTCCATTGTTTTCTTCCGGGGCCTATTGACGTCACTAAGTCCACATGGACCAATAGGCACACAGCTATAGAACAATAGGCACACAGCTATAGAACAATAGGCACACAGCTATAGAACAATAGGCACACAGCTATAGAACAATAGGCACACAGCTATAGAACAATAGGCACACAGCTATAGACCAATAGGCACACAGCTATAGAACAATAGGCACACCCGCTGCCAGGGCGGACCCTCAGGAGTCCCTCAGGAGTCCGCCCCGCGAGGCTCCCGGAGCGTTTCCCTGGAGGATGGATATAGCGCCGTGTTTCTCAAACGTTTTCATACCAAGGACCTCTTAACCAATAAAAAAACACTCACGGACCACCTGACTCCACAAATATCCAGAAACAATAGGCCTGCTTACCAAATTGGGATCAATAAAGTACAATTTTATCTTATCTTATTCCAACAGTACAGCCTGATAATGACAGCTTCACTTCTCTATCGCCTCGTTCACACATTAAATCAACAATACAAATACAACTACAGATTATATCAGCATTTAGTTCAAATGCCATTTAAAATGCTCTCAGGTTTTACACCTCTAATGAAATGTAGACTACATTTATTACAGAGTTTAGTCCGAGCCAACAGACTCACAGATCGTTGGCTACTGAGAGAAATGCAAAACACACCGCATAGTACGACACAAACCTCCACTGTGGATTTTCAAAACAAAATACAGTAAAACTATGGTCACAGGCCCAAGTTTGTTAAAATGCTATTAAAACATGAACCTTGGTGACCGTCGGGCTGGCCTGCATGGTCTGCCCCAACAACAGCCTCTGGTCATCAACAGACTTCCTGCAATGCTTCATCTGATGCACATATTATATAATAATCTCTATCTCACTCCTAACATCTGAATCTACTTCCAGCGTGGAGACATGTTCATAAAATACATCCATTGTTTGTTTTATACGCTTCTTGAAATTGAACAATGTAAATCTATTCTAGTAGACCTCAACAATGGAACTATGATCAGTAGAAATGACCATGACCTGGGCCCTTTAAGTAGATATTCATATTCAAATAAACTTAAAACCGATTTATTAAGTCCTGAAATTAAAACGTCACCTTTTTAAATGTTGATATCGTGAACCTGAAGTCTAGAGATACAAGCTTTACAGAAACACTGAACACGTCCTGGTAGAGGGTTATATTTAATAATAATATAACTTACACATTATTATTATGGCAGGAATACAAACAGTATGACACATTATGGTGTGAGTTAAAGGTTTGCTGTTCAACTATAATATGACTGGTTTGATTATTCAGTGCTATATCAACATCGATCACATCTCTGAGTGAGGCTATAAAGAGTTATAAAGAGTTAGGCTATAAAGAGTTAGGCTATAAAGAGTGAGGCTATAAGAGTTATAAAGAGTGAGGCTATAAAGAGTGAGGTTATAAAGAGCTAGGCTATAAAGAGTTATAAAGAGTTAGGCTATAAAGAGTTATAAAGAGTTAGGCTATAAAGAGTGAGGCTATAAAGAGTGAGGTTATAAAGAGTGAGGCTATAAAGAGTGAGGCTATAAAGAGTTATAAAGAGCTAGGCTATAAAGAGTTAGGCTATAAAGAGTTATAAAGAGTGAGGTTATAAAGAGTGAGGCTATAAAGAGTGAGGCTATAAAGAGTTATAAAGAGTGAGGCTATAAAGAGTTATAAAGAGTGAGGTTATAAAGAGTTATAAAGAGCTAGGCTATAAAGAGTTAGGCTATAAAGAGTTATAAAGAGTGAGGCTATAAAGAGTGAGGCTATAAAGAGTTATAAAGAGCTAGGCTATAAAGAGTTAGGCTATAAAGAGTTATAAAGAGTGAGGCTATAAAGAGTGAGGCTATAAAGAGTGAGGCTATAAAGAGTTATAAAGAGTGAGGCTATAAAGAGTTATAAAGAGTGAGGTTATAAAGAGTTATAAAGAGCTAGGCTATAAAGAGTTAGGCTATAAAGAGTTATAAAGAGTGAGGCTATAAAGAGTGAGGTTATAAAGAGCTAGGCTATAAAGAGTGAGGCTATAAAGAGTTATAAAGAGTTAGGCTATAAAGAGTTATAAAGAGTTAGGCTATAAAGAGTTATAAAGAGTTATAAAGAGTGAGGCTATAAAGAGTTAGGCTATAAAGAGTTATAAAGAGTGAGGCTATAAAGAGTGAGGCTATAAAGAGTTATAAAGAGTGAGGCTATAAAGAGTTATAAAGAGTGAGGCTATAAAGAGTTATAAAGAGCTAGGCTATAAAGAGTTATAAAGAGTGAGGCTATAAAGAGTTATAAAGAGTGAGGTTATAAAGAGTGAGGCTATAAAGAGTTAGGCTATAAAGAGTTATAAAGAGTGAGGCTATAAAGAGTGAGGCTATAAAGAGTTATAAAGAGTGAGGCTATAAAGAGTTATAAAGAGCTAGGCTATAAAGAGTTATAAAGAGTGAGGCTATAAAGAGTTATAAAGAGTGAGGCTATAAAGAGTGAGGTTATAAAGAGCTAGGCTATAAAGAGTTATAAAAGAGTGAGGCTATAAAGAGTTATAAAGAGTTATAAAGAGTTAGGCTATAAAGAGTGAGGCTATAAAGAGTTATAAAGAGTGAGGCTATAAAGAGTGAGGCTATAAAGAGCTAGGCTATAAAGAGTTATAAAGAGTTAGGCTATAAAGAGTGAGGCTATAAAGAGTGAGGCTATAAAGAGTTATAAAGAGTGAGGCTATAAAGAGTTATAAAGAGTGAGGCTATAAAGAGTTATAAAGAGTTATAAAGAGTTAGGCTATAAAGAGTGAGGCTATAAAGAGTGAGGCTATAAAGAGTTATAAAGACTGAGGCTATAAAGAGTTATAAAGAGTGAGGCTATAAAGAGTTATAAAGAGTTATAAAGAGTTAGGCTATAAAGAGTGAGGTTATAAAGAGTGAGGCTATAAAGAGCTAGGCTATAAAGAGTTATAAAGAGTTAGGCTATAAGAGTGAGGCTATAAAGAGTTATAAAGAGTTAGGCTATAAAGAGTTATAAAGAGTTATAAAGAGTTAGGCTATAAAGAGTGAGGCTATAAAGAGTGAGGCTATAAAGAGTTATAAAGAGTGAGGCTATAAAGAGTGAGGCTATAAAGAGCTAGGCGATAAAGAGTTATAAAGAGTTAGGCTATAAAGAGTTATAAAGAGTGAGGCTATAAAGAGTGAGGCTATAAAGAGTTATAAAGAGTGAGGCTATAAAGAGTGAGGTTATAAAGAGCTAGGCTATAAAGAGTTATAAAGAGTGAGGCTATAAAGAGTGAGGCTATAAAGAGTTATAAAGAGTGAGGCTATAAAGAGTGAGGTTATAAAGAGCTAGGCTATAAAGAGTTATAAAGAGTTAGGCTATAAAGAGTTATAAAGAGTTAGGCTATAAAGAGTTATAAAGAGTTATAAAGAGTTAGGCTATAAAGAGTTATAAAGAGTGAGGTTATAAAGAGTGAGGCTATAAAGAGTTAGGCTATAAAGAGTTATAAAGAGTTAGGCTATAAAGAGTTATAAAGAGTGAGGCTATAAAGAGTTAGGCTATAAAGAGTTATAAAGAGTGAGGCTATAAAGAGTTAGGCTATAAAGAGTTATAAAGAGCTAGGCTATAAAGAGCTAGGCTATAAAGAGTTATAAAGAGTGAGGCTATAAAGAGTTATAAAGAGTGAGGCTATAAAGAGTTATAAAGAGCTAGGCTATAAAGAGTTATAAAGAGTGAGGCTATAAAGAGTTAGGCTATAAAGAGTTATAAAGAGTGAGGCTATAAAGAGTTATAAAGAGTTAGGCTATAAAGAGTTATAAAGAGTGAGGCTATAAAGAGTTATAAAGAGCTAGGCTATAAAGAGTTATAAAGAGTTAGGCTATAAAGAGTTATAAAGAGTGAGGCTATAAAGAGTTATAAAGAGTTAGGCTATAAAGAGTTATAAAGAGTGAGGCTATAAAGAGTTATAAAGAGCTAGGCTATAAAGAGTTAGGCTATAAAGAGTTAGGCTATAAAGAGTTATAAAGAGCTAGGCTATAAAGAGTTATAAAGAGTGAGGCTATAAAGAGTTATAAAGAGTGAGGCTATAAAGAGCTAGGCTATAAAGAGTTATAAAGAGCTAGGCTATAAAGAGTTATAAAGAGTTAGGCTATAAAGAGCTAGGCTATAAAGAGTTATAAAGAGTGAGGCTATAAAGAGCTAGGCTATAAAGAGTTATAAAGAGCTAGGCTATAAAGAGTTATAAAGAGTTAGGCTATAAAGAGTTATAAAGAGTTAGGCTATAAAGAGCTAGGCTATAAAGAGTTATAAAGAGTTATAAAGAGTTAGGCTATAAAGAGTTATAAAGAGTTATAAAGAGTTAGGCTATAAAGAGTTATAAAGAGTTAGGCTATAAAGAGTTATAAAGAGTTAGGCTATAAAGAGTTATAAAGAGTGAGGCTATAAAGAGTTATAAAGAGTGAGGCTATAAAGAGTTATAAAGAGTGAGGCTATAAAGAGTTATAAAGAGTGAGGTTATAAAGAGTGAGGCTATAAAGAGTTAGGCTATAAAGAGTTATAAAGAGCTAGGCTATAAAGAGCTAGGCTATAAAGAGTTATAAAGAGTGAGGCTATAAAGAGTTATAAAGAGTTAGGCTATAAAGAGTTAGGCTATAAAGAGTTATAAAGAGTGAGGCTATAAAGAGTTATAAAGAGTTAGGCTATAAAGAGCTAGGCTATAAAGAGCTAGGCTATAAGAGTTGGCTTATAAAGAGTTAGGCTATAAAGAGTTAGGCTATAAAGAGTATAGAGTGAGGCTATAAAGAGTTATAAAGAGTGAGGCTATAAAGAGTTATAAAGAGTGAGGGGTATAAAGAGTTATAAAGAGTGAGGTTATAAAGAGTGAGGCTATAAAGAGTT